CGTGGCCAAGCACTACCACAAGTGGCTCCGCTCAACGACGTTGAGAGTCTGCAGCAGCCTGCTGAGAGTCACCCAGCATGGCGGAATCCCGACGAAGTCGGGCGCGCACTCCACTCACACCATCAAAGCGTTCTTCGGGATCTGCAAGCGGAGACGTCTCAGCGCAGTCGGCATCCTGTTGGACCTCCGACAGGCCTCCTACTCTGTCATTCGCGAGTTCGTGCTGGGACGGGAGGGGGAGAAGCCTTGGCTCTTAAAGGTGATGGCAGGAGGCGCCCCACCTGAATGGCTCATGCCAGCCATCCAGCAGTTGATCGCGGCACCAGGCTACTTAGCACTCAACGACGTAGACGAGAACCTGCGATTCCAGCTAGAAGAAGCACACGACACGACATTCTTCCAAGTGCGGGGAGATGAGCTTTGCGCGGAGAGCCGCAAGGGCACACGCCCAGGTAACGGCCTGGCTGACCTCATCTTCAACATCAGCTTCGCGCACGCCCTGGGCCCGCTGGAGCAGGAGCTACATTCAGGAGGGTACTTATTACAGCTACCACCGGCGGGAGAGCAAGCCATTGCCACGTCAGGCCAGCTCCGAGGGCTTGAGGGGACCCTGCCAGAAGTATCCTTCATGGACGACGCGACATTCCTGTGCGTACTCAGGGACAACACGAAAATCGAGAGCAGCATCTTTGACATATTGTCCATCATTGCGAGGAGACTCAAGATCTTTGGGCATGACCTACACCCCAAGAAGACCAAAGCGTTGCTGCATATTGATGGGCACGCCAAACAGCATATCAAGGCGAAGATTTTCAAGACAAACCCCATCACGTTGCAACGCGAGGAATGCCAGCCGCCGACCAGCACTGATGTCACCACGGCTGAGGTCACGACCCAGGGACTCACATTGGGCAATATTGTGGCAAGTGATGGCGGGGAGGGGCCGAACCTTATGAGACGCATCATCGACCACAGATCCGCAGAGGGTCCCTTGAAGAAGTCCATCTTCCGTCTGCCGCACATCGACCTCAAAGCCAAGTTGCTGTATCTCACGGCACTGGCGCAGAGCAAGCTGACCTACGACAGCGAAGTATGGGGACCGCTGACAGCACAGCAGAAACAGATGTTGCAGAGCAGACATATGGCGAGCCTACGGGCCGCCGCACGACAACAGCGACACGGTGCGGGGCACATACATACTTTGGACGACGAAATATACTTGATATGTGATGAAGTACCGATCCACATGTACCTGCGCCGACGCGCCTGATGTACTTGGCCAGAATGGCGCATGCAGACACGCCCTTCCTCCACCGCCTCATCGACGAGCTTTGGGGGGATGATAAAGCCTGGAATGCCCTTATCGTCGAGGATCTGGACTGGATAAGAAGATTCCTACTAGACGACGAGGACATTGGCTGCGACATCAGGGGCTTGGTACGATGGTTACGAACACAGCAAGTGCAAGCCGCACAAGCCATGATCACGCGTGCGTGGCTCAGGTACAAGGCATGGCAGCACGACTTATACCGACATCGAATATGGCAAAGGCAGTTACACCGTCTTGCGCAAGAGTTTGGACTGACCACGCCCAACTTCGATGGACTGCCGCCTGCACAACACAGTGGCTACATATGCTATGGGTGTGGCAAGATCCTAAAAACTCGGGGAGCATGGAAGCGCCATCGCACCATGGAGCACATCGGCTACGACCTCCCCGAATTGCTTGCCCGTTCGACTACCTGCCCTGGGTGTGGGAAGAACTTCATAACGCGATCGCGCATACTCAAGCACCTGAGAAGGTGCCCCAGGTGCCTGGCTGTACTCCAAGCAATCGAAGTTCCAATGGATTTGCAGGAGGCAGCCGAGCGCCGAGAAGAGGAACGAGAGGCTGTGGCGACGAGGAAGGCAATGGGGCATGGAGCTACAAAGGCGCTGGTGCCCGCCCAACAGGTCATACACATCAAGCTTGCCGACTACATCGAGCAGCATCAGCTCCAGCTCTCGCCGGCGCCGCCTGCAGCAGCGGACCCTCAACCAGCGACGCCACCTGCAAGCGTATTCGCACCGTGCAGGCCCATGGTTACTACGGCTATGTTCTTGCTGCACCTTTTCTCAGGCAGACGCCGAACCGAGGATTTCCAGCACCACTTCGAGATGAACACTCGGGAATGCAATTTGGTAGTATTATCGATCGACGTGCAGATAGACCCCGACAAAGGAGACCTGACGAAGCCAGACGTCGTCGAGTTTTGGTGCGCGGCGATACGACAAGGCAAAATATTTGGCATTGCGGCGGGCCCCCCCTGCGAGACGCGGTGCTCATCGCGCTGGCATGCCGCCGAGGGGAGAGCTCCACGGCCACTACGTACACGCGACTTCCCCTGGGGCATACAAGCAGCCAATCAAGCGGAGCGTCAACAGATAGCACTAGCCAACGAGTTATACAGGACAGCTCTACTACTCATCACCACTGGCTTGCAGTACAACGTATCTGCCGTACTCGAGCATCCCGCTCCAGCCACCTGGTGCCCTCAAGCGCCTAGCAGCTGGCAGCGAGCAGAGACGCTCTGGCTTTTGGAGCAGACGAGCGTCGAGCTGCACTACATAGACCAGTGCCAGTTTGGGCAGGCTGCGCGAAAGCCAACATGCCTGATGGCGGCACACCTCAGTGAACTTACACAGGAGCTGGGGGCGGTACCTGGGGGACAGCTATGCCGACATAACGGACATGACAGAGCTCACGGACGAGACGGCCAAGGCGGCTGGAGGACCGCCCCCCTCAAAGAATATCCTTCAAGGCTGTGCAAGGCAATGGCTACTGCATTCGCAGCCCACTGGGGACAGCTTGCTGACGAAGAGGCAATGTGGGCCGAAACGGATGAATGCTATCACAGGTTCTACGCCCCCTTGGACTACTACATCGAGCCAGAGCAGCTGGGCCACGACTGTCACAGGGCATGGGGTAACCAACGGCGCTAGCAGCTGACACTGCAGCGGCACTACGTTTGTCTGCACAGATATTCGAGTTTAATTGTTTCAGGATTGCGCACAGTCGGGTAATATCTCAGAGTGGCAGCAGGCGCGTCAGCATCAGCGCACCTACTGTATGTACTCAAGACCCGCACTGCTTCTGGGTTATTGGCACGGCTGCGTCTTGGACAGCGATTGCGTGCCATACTCGAGGGGGGGGGGCCCGTAGCGCCCATACGGGTGGGCACGATCCCTCAATGGCGACGGAGCGTGCCCCCCCCTCGAGTATTTTCTGGATTTATTGGCTTTCTTTCAACACTGGCATTTACTTCCATGATTATCCAGCGCCCTGGACAAGGCACTACGGTGCCATGGTGTAAGTCCTGAGGAAGCCCCGAATGCGAGGGAAGACCTCAGGCAGCGTCGCCAAGTTTTGCCCTGGTTAGAACGCAAGTCCTGGGGAAGCCCCGAATGCGAGGGAACACCCCAGGCACAAGTCGCCACGTTTTGTTGTGTACCCTGGCGGCGACTGGCTACCTACAACTTGGACGGCGCCAGCTACCTACAACTTGGACGGCGACAGCATACCCAGCACGACCCCGCACACCTCCTGTCAAGTCAACGCTGTCCTGGTGAGGATCAAACTTCGAGACGGGCTCGAAGGGCGGGGGGGAAGGACGAGTACTTCCCGCGCCCACCAGCGGGGATGGTGAGGGGCAGGGGGGGGGTAGGACGGCCACTACCTGCGCCCCCGCGGTCCGCCCTAGCTCGCCACCCCCACCATTCCCAGGGAGAAGGAGGAGCTACCCGAGCGCCCGAGGGCGAAGCACAGGACAGCCGAGACATCCCACTCCGACGATAAGTACCAGGCCTGGGGTTCGCCCCCACCGAGGGCACTGTGACCCCTAGCCATAGCGGGACGAGGTGGGACAGCCAAGACCCCCACTTGAAGTCGGTGCATGGAGGCCTTGGAAGCCCACAACCAACGCAACACCAGCAACGATCCGACCCCCAACGACCTGACCAGCACGCTCCACACCCTGCACTCAGCCCTACAAACGACCGCCATCTACAACATCCGAGATCAGCACCCTCCTGTACTGCATAGGCGGGGGTGTCATGACTGACATCGGATACTACGGCTAGTGAGTACCAGTACGACCAAGACTGGACAGGATCAAGCAGGAGTACCAACCCGTCCAGCGCGGCTAGGACGAGGGATACGTGTTCGAGCACCACAGTGTCAGGCAGCACTGCAGGTTCAACATGGAGTACTCGACGAGAAGGGGCGGCCTGCCCCTAGGCGAGGGATACACAGCGCCAGGCGCCGAAGGGTGCATCCCCGTCGCCCTCGCGTGGCATGCGAGGGGCCGAGGCCAGCCGGCCTTGATCGGCATGATGACGAGAGCAGCCGCTGCAGACCTGCCGGAGCCCAAGAGCGGCTCGGCGGGCCTCCACAGCGCGCTGCGCCGAAGGGTGGAGGCCGCCGCAGCTGGGGGCAGCCAGCCACCCGAAGGCCCCACGGCGGCTGGGCTCAGCGCGAGGCGCCGAAGGGAGCCCAGCCGCCACCCACGCGGCCGCCAGCCCACAAAGAGGCCGACGGCCTGGCCGCGCGCCGCGCTGGCTGACGCCCGCTGGCACGGGCGCGCGCGGCGCCCGCCCGTGGGCCCTGACGGGCCCCCTTTTTTCTTTTTGCTGAAACCCGGCCCCCCTTCTCCCTCCTCTGAGGTTTATTTGGTCCCTGGTTCCCCCTGCTTTCCTCGGGGTCGGGTTCCCGGGGCCGCTGTCCGAGTGCCCGCACGGCCCTGGAGGGCCGCTGCGGCGCGCTCCGCGCCCGCGGGGCGCGCGACAAGACGCTGCATAGCGAGAAATGAGAAATGAGGTGGCGGAGGAGGCGGAGGAGGAGGAGGAGGAGGCTGCGCTCCGCACGGAAAACGTCAACATGGCGTTCCAAGGCCTTTGCATTCTTACCGCGCATCCTGACTATCCTGGTCGAGTGTAGCTCCTCCCACTGAGCAACGCCCAAGGCGCAAGGCGTGCGGCCGCGGGCGAGCTGCTGGCGGTGGGCCAGAGGTCCCGCCATGGAGCAAACCCAGACCTCCGACGTCTTGGAGAGATCAAGCTGGAGGTCTTTCGTCGCTTGGCTGCCCCGTTGCGCCCGCGCTGAAACGCGACACGTACGATGCTCCAAAGAATCCGTGTTAACACGTTTGCGTGTTGATTCGGCACGTGTTGGCCCGCGTTTGGGGGAACGCATGGCAGACCTGCGTTTTCAGTCCACGTGTTGAGCTCCGTGCCAACGCGCTACGGGGTGCGTGTTGCGTATCGGGGCAGCTAAGTCTCGTTGTTTTCGACCGCTGGGAGCCCTCGACGGGCCCCGGGGTCCCGGGAAAAGGGTCCAGACCTCTCGAGAGCCACGTCGCGAAAAAATATCGACGCCGGATGTCTGAGAATTCAGATCTCCAGCGATATTATGCTTTCAATCTCAGCGATTGTTCCTTCATTTCGTCCTCTGGTGCCCGTTTTTTCCGCCCCCCGGGGGCATCACAAATGGATCCAAGGCGGTACACTGCCTCCCAGGGGAGCAGTCGAGACCTCGTCGGGTCTGCGCGCCGGAACAAAATATCGGCGGGTATCAGGGCACGGGCTCTTCTGGGAAACGCTTTCAGGCTCCAGGGGCCCTGGATTGTATCGAAGCGGCTCAGGGCGAAAAGCTGGCCCCAGGGGAGAGGGCACCCCAGCCCAAGCTTGTTTTCCGCACGGCCCGCGTGCTTCATGCCAACAAGGTCGTCCCACGCGGTCGAGGCACGCGAGGGGAGCCCCACGCACGTGACGGCAGCCCCAGACGTGCAGGCCTTGGAGGGGTTATTATCAGAAGGAGAAGAAACACACAGACACAATTAATCCTCGATTCCATAGAAAATATGGGAAAATATGGGCAGTGGGTGGGAAGACAAAAACCCAGAAAATATGGGAAAATATGGGGAATCAGTTTATTTGTGTGTATTTATTTGTGTGTCCTGGGGCCCCTTCAAATTAGCAGCAAGCGGTACGAATCGGGCAGGCAGGAAGAAGATGAGTCGTTCCGTGGCTCGGCTGCGCCCTGATACGCCCGTATTGAAACGCAGCATGCACCTTGTTCGAATCGTCTGGATTGGACACGCTGCGTGTTGGCTCCCCACGTGTTGGCCGACGTCTCGGCGAGTACATTGCGCCAGGCCTGCGTGATCAATGTGCGCGCTGAGCTCCGTGTCAACGCGGTCTGGGCCGCGTGCTGCGTATCAGGGCAGCTGAGTTCCAGGGCGCCCAAACTATGGAACGGCCGCGGCGTCCAACAACATCCTCCAGGTCCACCGGCATTCAGACATTATCGATCAGATGTTGTCTTGTTCTTGCCGCTGACGAAAGGCCACGCATGATGATGCATTCTCCATTCTGCGGTGGAGCGTTTCCGCCCTAGGGCGTCTGGAGATCAGTGTCCTCTGGAAGCCTCCAGAGACCCCAACAAATCCCGTCCTCGAAGACGGAGGAGCAGGAGGAGGGACGAGAAGGAGGAGGAAGACGAGTGCGAACCCAAGACGCATCAACGATATTGGAATAAACCCTCCCTCCAAGTTGTCTCTTCACAGGCCCATGCAAGATTTGTTTCATTGCGGGAAATGCCTACTTGGAAGACGACCGTCTGAGAATCTACAATCGTGCTAAAACACCTTTATAGGGACTCCAGCGCCGCGAATCCAGGTGACTTGCGTCCTGACAGTCCTAAACCCTGGTAGAAGACCACCCTTGGGACATCAACACCCGGAATCCGAGTAATGTTTGAGCCTTCACAATGCGATTTCGTGCTAGAGCACCAGTCATGGAGTGTCAGCCGTACGAGCACTTGAGAACGCTGCCAAGTCTCAAACGAATGCACTCGGCGCTGAGGCGAGAGACACATTTGAGAAGAGATCACCCTCCATCCTTGGAGCTGCTGCGAGTCTTTTAGCTGAATGTGCGCGGCGCTACGGCGAGAGTCACACTTTGAAAAAGATCCGCCCTCTCTCCTTGGAAATGCTGCAAATGTTCAAGACCAATGTGCGCGGCGCGAGTGCCCGAGCCACATGTTGAAAAAGGCTTGTCTTCTATACTTAACGAACAGTTGCAAGCGCTCAAGACGAATGCGTGCGGCGCTAAGGCGAGAGCCACAGTTCGAACAAAACTCGCCCTCAATCTTGAAACTGCTGCGAGTGTATATGACGAGCCTGCGCGGCGCTGAGGCGAGAGCAACAGTTTGAAACCCACCGGCCCTCCATTCGTGAAAGCGTTGCAACGTTCAAGCCTCAGGGCCGCAGATGGTGAGGATATATCAGGTGACACGCATGGCCCGCCCTATGGTCACGTCTGGGGTTCGACAGGGAGAGTGATTTATACAAGGGATGGAGAAGGAGCGGGGGGTGATGAGCGCGTTCTGGGCTTGGGGGGGAGATGGAGGGGGCTAGACATGGGGAGCGGGAGGAGATTTGTGGAGGGAACGGAGGAGGATGT